AAACGGAGTGAAAAATTATATTCAACGACTCAGAAATAACTGATTACTTAAATAATTTTTGGGAAGGTAAAAATAGAGAGGAGAGATCAGAGTAAATGAAACTCATGAAAGTTGTTTTTGCAGCAACCTAATTTCAGTGTTTTTCTGTGCGGCGCTTATTTACCAATGTTTTTGCTACACTTCCATTTAGCTTTCGCAAGATTGGCTTCGACACAGAACTCCAGTGAAATCTGCTAAAGCTTTCTCCTTGAAATTACTTAAGTGGTTGCCATCCTGTACCTCAGTGTTTGCCAACTCAAATTTTCTTTGTTTTGTAGAGCAGAAAAGTCTGTTCAAAGCCAACTTTTTGAAAAGTATTTGAAAGATTATTATGTTCCAAATGCATGTTTAAAATTTAACTTTTCACCATATTCCGGGATTGTATAAAAGATATGTAGAACTTCTTTAACTCTAAATTTTCACTACGGAGAGTTCCATTTGAATCTAAGATTACTTTATTTTATATACAAATTATGAATTTACAGAGCATGAAACAAGTTTAAGCTGCGCAAAAAATAAAGATGTTTTGGATAATTTGGCAGAGGATTTGCTACCACATATTCTTTCTCTGTATGTAAATCTGGAGCCAGATCCTAGCGACCAGCATAACTTTAAAAGAATCAAAGATATCAGTTGAAGGTGTTCTCTGAGTAGTAATATATATTTTAAAGGGCTGTAACTCTGCCTATAACAAAGTTTTTTTTGCTTAAAATTTCAGCGACATCATACGCCGGAGATCTTCAGCGAAAAACACCGTTGAGGAGATGAACCAAATTTGGGCCCTGCTAGTGGACGGGGACAATGGGTTCCTAAATGGCTGCTGGGGACCTCGGGTACTAGATCCTTCCACTTCTTCTTGCAAGATTTCACAAAAAAAAACTGGAAGAGATTTGAAAACTCGGAGTCTGATATGTTTGAAAGCTAAAATTCAGATAAGTTTAGTCTGGTTGGGGCGCAGTTGTGTTAGTTTATAAATTTTGACATCGTAAATGAAATTTGATGGTGAACTAGATCTTTTAGGCACCATCTTTTGCCCTCTAAATCCTGAGTTGGACTCTTCTAGCGAGCAGAATTTTAACAGTTTACAAGGTTAACTGGAAAAAAATCTTATTTAAAGGTCTTCCTGAGAAAACACTGGTTGCACAAATAAAACTCTGCTCGACTTCCCATGGTGCTAGAATGTAACTGCAACCACTATAAGTGACAGTACACTGAATATACAAAAAC